GTCGCGGAACTCCATCTTAGCCCCATCCCATTCTGGTGGTGGACCTGCTGTAGAACGTTCAGCTTCCTCTCGTGCGGCATGTCCCCAATGTAGTGGATGCAGTTCTGGTTGGGCTCCAAGGCGGACGAAATCATTTCGCACCGGAGGGGTCATTTGTGCTCCGGTGGGAGGTGTCGTCGGTCCAGCCTCGAGGCCTTGTCGCCATTGCAAGAACTGCAAGTAGTCCGCGTTCACGTTCTCCTGGGCGGGCAGTCGTGTCCACGGGTCGCGACGAACCCAAGGGTCACTCCCATCAGAGGACATCGATGCAGCACCGGCCGAATGGCCTTCGGTGGCCGCGGGGCCGGCAGGCCTGTTGGCCGTGGTCTGCCAGTTGGCATCCTCGGGAGCAAAACCAGGAGGAGGAGCAGGATGATCCATGGCGCCTATCACGCGGTCCCTGGACGAAACCGGCTCCGCTACCACTGCGTGCGCAGTGGTAGCTGGAACCTGGGGTTTCTGCGGTCTCTTTTGACCATTGCGTGCTCGGCTTGAGCCAATGTTTATGGCGTCAGCTTTTGACCAAGACGGTCCTCTCGAAATGCATTTGGATTCAAGCGTGGTCGAGATGAGTCGACTAGCATTTTCCTGGTGCGTGAAGTGTTGTCGTATGAAGAATTTCAAGAAGCTCTTCTTCGAGTGAAGGAAGAACGCTCAGGTGTTGACCCTTCGGCTCAGGCCTTCGGCGTGGAAGAGATCCTCCGTCTTGGTGAAGAAGCTGAATGGTGGCAGTCCAAACGGAAGGACTGGAAGAAAGGTGATGACGATGACGATCGTCACAGCCAAGCCGCGGCCGCAGTTTGTGCCGCCAGTGCTTCAGGAAGCCCCTCCAAATCGGTTTCTGGCTCAGTGGAACTTGATGGTTCACCCAAGATGATGGGTATCAGCCGGTGTCCACTCAGTCAGAGCCTGATGAATCCCATCCCCACACTCCGGTGGGATCGACGGCAAAGTCAAAGCCTCCGGCATTTGCAGTGCTCTCAGCCCATGACTCCTTCATCTTGGACGTGCTTCGAGGTTGGCGCTTGTTGGTTGCTGCTTCGTTGAATCATGATGAGTGGCGTGACATCCTGTCCGCCACCAACAATCGTCTTGATTGGGAGTCGGTTTCAAAGGCATTGCAAGTCTTGTGAGACGATCAGTTGGTGCATGCTCGATGCCTCCAGTGGGGGCAACCTTCATTTGGTTGACTACGCTGCTGGACCTGACATGTTCTCTGCCCAAGCTGATGACAGTTGGTGGGGTGATGACTCGTGAGGGTCAGATTGGTCTTGGTGGCTTGGCCCAATTCGGATCAGTATGAGCCTCCTTCAGAGCCTTCTCCTCCGGCAGAGTCCATGGGTGAGCTGCAGCCAGCTGAGCTTGAAGATGAGAACGTCCGTGAGCCCTTCAAAGTGAGAAAGTCGCTGAGGCCCTCGCTGCAGAAGCTCGCGTGACATGGCAGAAAGCTCAAGAGACCACCGCCGCCCTTCGTCGTGATCGTGGCTTTGGTCAAGCGAAAGGTCAAGGCAAATCCAGTGGTGGTGCAAAAGGCTCAGGTTGTTGGATCTGCGACAGCAATAGTCACTTCGCTGCCAACTGTCCTGACAAGCTTCACCCTGGCAAAGGAAAATCACGATCGAAGTTCGGCGTGTCGTTGGAGAGTGATTTTGGTTTTGGGGACTATGATGCAATGGCCCTCCATGGCAATTCAAAAGCGAAGAAGGGTGCTCATTTTGTTGATGATGTGTTTTGGACCTCCTACATGAAGGGGAAGAACTCCAAGGGTTTTGGCAAAGGGAATCCTTTCCGTCCGTCGATGCCCAGCGTGAGAAGGCAACTTTGCTATACGACTTGGACCTCAATCCCCCGGAGCTCCTACCATCGACTTCCTCTATGGCATACCCTACTTCATTGCATCTTCCTCATTGGGTACTCCTCCTACTACCACCTCAGCCATGGGTCCTTCCGAGGGTTTGCTCAACAGTGGAGCGACGGCGTCCGCAGGTCCAGATGCCTGCGTGCGGCGCCTCCTGCAGAGCCTACGCCGTCACAACCCTCAGTCTGTGATCGAGACCGACGTCGACCAGAGCCCCATGTTTCGTTTTGGAGTGGCAAGTGGGGAAAGGCCCTATGTCGTGATGTCGGGTCAACTTCGGCAGTTCATGTGTATGTGCTTCCAAACCCCGCAGAGTTCTGTGAGTCATGGTTTACCTTGGACCAGCTTGTGCCCATTTTGATTGGGATGGACTTCATTCGTCCACAGGGTTTGATCTTGGATTTTTCTGACGGGTTGGCGCAGATCACCTCCGTGGCCAACTCAAAGCCCTTCTTCATGCGTCAGAACACCGAAGGGCACGTTGTCGTTGACTTGGTGTCTTGGTTGACCGGGAACTTGGAGACAGTGTCGCATGAAGCTTCGAGTGTTTGCACCCCTCCAAGGCCATCATGTTTGTTGCGAAGAGGGGAGCTGCCATCTTGCTGACCTTGAGGCTCATGATCCTGTAGAGGATGTTGACCCGGGATGAAGTCCAGTGTCGGAGACATCCGGCATGTGAACACTCAAAAGCTGCGGAGGTCCAAAAGAATGACGACTAACGAACTGCGGAACGCCTGGCCATGTTTCAGTCGTCACAACGCCTCCGAGCATGGTTCCAACGGCTGGAGCCTGGAGTGAGTGCGGGGTGTGCGGACTCGAAATGAAGAATCAGCAGATCGGTGGTGTCTCAGGCCCTTGAGATGCTCAAGGAGGACTTGCAAGGGCAGAAGCCTCACTCCAAAGCTCCAACAAAGCTCAGCGACAAGGCAATGAGCTCCAGGGGCTATCCGTCTCCAAGCAAAGCGGCGCCGCAGGCCATCTCTCCTCGTACGAGCCGAGCGACTTGGAAGCCCTTCGCGCCTCCTGGTGGGTTACCAGGAGGGGATGGATCCCGATCTCAACCCGAACATGGCGGATCACGAGTTGACCCACGAGGACATCTGGAAGGCCCACCTCTACCTCTTCGAGTGGCTCGAGCTGCAGTGGCCATGATGGCCATGATAGTTGCTTCAATGACTTCTTCATTGCAAGCTTTGATGACAGACCCTGATCACTTGGTTTGGGAAGTGTTCTGTTCTCCCAAGTCCTGGCTCTCTGAGGCTTGTCGGCTACAAGACCTCAATCCCTTCCGCATGAACTCGGCCAACGACTTTGACGTCAACAAGGACGAGACCTATGAGCGGATGTGGACTCTCTATAAACAGCTCAAGCCCAAGAAGCATGTGATGCACAGTTTGGTGTCCTTGGCAGTCCATCAACTACGAAGGCGATCGATCTGAACTCCTTGAAGCCCGTCGTCGCAAAGAACGGGCTACTTTGAAGAAGATGACTAAATGGCTCCTCCGAATGCTTCAGGATGACCCTTCGGTTGAAGTCCACTGGGAATGGCCAGCTCGATGTGAAGGCTGGCGACGACAGGTGATGACAGAATTCGAAGAAGGTCGTCTATGGCGTCTTGATCGAGACTGGCGCCCTTGCCGAGTTGATGGGCGCCGCTATGACCTTCGAAGCGGTGAACCAGGCTTTGAAGACCAGCTGTTGCTGAAACGATGGATGATCAAAACCAC